GTACTATATTGAAGAAGTATGGTGAGAGAGGGCAGCCTTGTCTTGTCCCTGATTTCAGTGGGATTGATTTAAGTTCCTCTCCATTTAATTTGATGTTGGCTATAGGCTTGCTGTATATTGTCTTTATTATGTTTATATATGTCCCTTGTATCCTTGATTTCTCCAAGTGTTTTTAACATGAAGGGGTGTTGGATTTTGTCAAAGGCTTTTTCAGCATCCAATGAGATGATCATGTGGGTTTTTTCTTTTATCTTGTTTATATGGTGGATTACATTGATGGATTTCCATGTACTGAACCACCCTTGCATGACTGGGATAAAGCCTACCTACTTGATTATGGTTGATGATATTTTTCATGTGTTCTTGGATTCAGTTTGTGAGTATTTTATTGAGTATTTTTGCATCAATGTTCATAAGGGAAATTGGACTGAAATTTTCTTTCTTTTTCAGGTCTTTGTGTGGTTTATGTATAAGGGTGACTGGCCTCATAGAATGAGTTTGGTAATGTTCCTTTAGCTTCTATTTTGTGGAACAGTTTGAGAAGTGTTGGTGTTAGCTCTTTTTTGAAAGTCTGGTAGAGATTTGCATTGGCCTTTAATTGACTTGAAGGTGGAAAGGGAACAATGTGACCTTGGCCAAGCTCAGTGGACTGCTGGTGCCCCTCATTGCCATAATTGTCCTGATGCCCAGAGACCAGAAGTCTTCCTTGTCCATACTGTCTTTCCTTGCTCCAGTTACAAGAAGGTGTTGGAAAATGCTCTGCTAAGCAGTCTCCAGGGAACTGACAGAGGTTGTTGATCTTTCTAGATTTAAAAAATCAAAATATTTATGGCTCCATCATAACATGCTACGTGTGATAGCCTTTTAAAAGTAGAAACTATTATCTGACATTGCTGTATCTAAACAACAATGCAATCTTTTATATAGAAAGCCTGCATAATTTGTCCTCGTTGCACATTCCCCTTTTATACCACAATGAGCTGACAAACCTTGATGCCTCCGTGAAGGAACTAGATGGAATGCACAATCTGAAGACACTGAGTACACACTGCTCGTCTATGCGTCAATAAATTAAGATGGGGTAGCACAGCACGTTTGTTTTCCTTTCTGAAGCTCAAGCTTAGAGAAGTGGGCTTGCCGTTGGAATGCATAGCTCGTTCCTTAGAATGTGACTAGATTTTATTCTTTCTTCACACACACTTTTGAAAACAATTTTTTGTAGGATGTCACATAAGCTGAATATGACAAAAGCAACAAATAAGGATGTGTGTGTCCAAATCTACTCTTTTGGTTTTATCTCAGAAGTAAGTTGTGTCATTCAAGTTATAGGTCTATCCGTCACACATCCACCTGTAGAGGCAGAAGTGAGAGGGATTCATAGCTAGCACCCTGCACACAACTCCAAATATATCACTAACCTCAACATAAAGGTCAGATACCCTGGATATAATAGAAGAAAATGTGAAGAATAAGCTTGAACTCATTGGCACAGTAAAGAGTTCTTTGAACAAGACACCAACCACCAGCACAGGCATTAAGACCAACAATTACTATGTAACCGACTTAGACACTAAACTGCCATGGATTACATCTGCGCAGGGGTTCTAGGTTATCCCCATGCCTCCCCCTGAGGGGAGAGCAGTCTTACCAGGCCACAGAAGATGACAATGCAGCCACTCCGAATGTGATCTGATAAACTAAGATCAGATGGAAGGAGAGGAGGACCTCCCCTATCAGTGGACTTGGGGAGGGGTATGCATGAAGAAGGGGGAGGGAGGGTGAGATCAGGAGGGGAGGAAGGAGGGGCTTATGGGGGGATACAAAATGAATAAAGTGTAAAAAATAATAAAAAATGAAAAAAAAATAAATAAAAATAAAATAAAATAAAAAGAAAGTAAAGTGAAATTAGAAGAAAAAAAACTTCTTTGCCTCACAGGCTCTTACAGGGTAAGCTCTCCTTCCTCCTGCAAACTTCATGGTACCGTGTGGCTACTCCCGCAGCCCACTGGACCAGATTCCATCCATCGTGCATTATTGCTTATCTAAGTCTTTCTGTTTTTTTCTTTCCTTAGTGTACGTTCTTTTTAGTATACCGAACAAACAAACAAACAAACGCATGTGTACAGGATTTCCTATTGTAGAAATTTACTTCCCAAATGAAAAACTTTTTTCAGCGTCATTGTCTAACATGTTTCTACTACCCAATTTTAGAGCTGGAAGTGACAGTATATCCATATTGCTTTATCCATAAATATACAGTAATAATCAGACAATGCTTATTTAAAAATTTAAAAATAAGAATGGTGAAATTGTTCCCTTGAATCATTTTGTCTATATGATAATGACTTTTACTATATAAAATATGGGATGAATGGGTAAGGCATATTCATATTCATATTCATCACCTGAAATGGTCATAACTTCCTCCTGAACAAAAATTTCTACTCTCTCAGCAACATTTTTCCCTTTTCACCCCACGCTCTGTTAATAACCATTCCATTGTCAGACTCTACATGTTTAATATTTTAGTTTCTAAAACATAAGAGAGAATAAATGACATTTAAATTTCTTAATTTTTACACTTTCCATGTAAATTGTTCTATATTTCTGGGCACTGGTTTCATGATTTTATTGTACTTATTGCTTTATTATTTTTTTAGTAGGAAAACGATCAACACTTGGGTATTTTAGAACTATGACAGTTATATTATACCGATGAGCTAAAATGTCTCCTGTGTTGTGCTGTCCCTATGTTTCACAGATATTGAATTTGGAACAATGTTGGATTTTATAATTTTTCCTGAGTAAAATTATAAACATGGATTCCTTGACAATGTATGAATGTGAAGATATGATAATTTTGGGTTAAAAGGGAAGGCATTTAGGACAATTTCATCAGATCTAGAATGTTTCCATCAATCAAATCCCTCTAAATGTATCATTGTTAAATACCCTCATCGATGACACATTTTGTTTATTTGATTGATTTTGCTTTTAACTGAAATAAGTAGTTATGTTTCATGTTCTATGAGCCCTTTCACAACAGAGCTTTGTTTTATGCACAGAATGACAGCATACCAAAATAACTCATTTTAAATTACTTAACTTACAAATGTTATGAAATTGTTCTTTATGAATTGTATGAAAATAAATCATGGATTTCTCTGATAGAAAAAAAAAAGACCAACAATTAATATATTGGCCCTTATCAAGTGGAAAGCTTCTGAACAGCAAAGGACACCACCATTCAAGCAAAGCAGCAGCTTACAGAAAGCAGCCAACAATATTGGGAAAGATTTTTTTTCTTTTTTACCAATTATACATTTGATAGAGGGTTAGTTTTAAACTACATGAATAAATGACCAAGATCAATAAAGCAAATGGCAGCACATGCTAGTGAGATGTGGGGAAAGAGAAACACTAATTACTGGTGGGAGTGCAAACTGGTACAGGCAATATAGAAATCAGCTTAGTGCTCCCTCAAAAATCCGAAAATCAATCTACCTCAACATTCAGCTATATTACTCTTGGAACTATACCAAAAGAATGCTACATTTTACTGCAAATATACTTGCACATCCATGTTCATTGCTATCATTTTTATAATAGCCAGAAATTGGAAACAGCCTAGATGTACATCAACTGATAAAGGAAAATGTGGTACATTTTCACAATGGAATATTATTAAGCTGTTAAGAAAAGTAACCATCAGAAGTAAGCTTCTGAACAGCAAAGGACACAACCATTCAAGCAAAGCAGCAGCTTACAGAAAGCAGCCATAGCAACTGCCTCCTGTATCCATATGCAGGATAACTTGGCCAAAACAAAATGAACTCTATGTTTTTAGTGTGTGTGTACTTTTTCATTTTAGCATTTTTTTCCTATTGGTTTTGTTTCTTCTTCTTCTTTTGGTCTTTTTGAGGGTTTCTCTGTGTAGCCCTAGCTGTTCTGGAACTTGCGCTGTATACCAGGCTGGCCTAGAACTCACAGAGATCCACTTGTCTCTGCCTCCTGAGTCCTGGGATTAAAGGCATGTACAAGCACCACTCAGTTTTGTTTTGATTTTCATTGTTATGTTTTTGTGTTTCTTTTTCAAAGAGAGAGAGAGAGGGAAAGAAAGAGAGAGGGGGAATATAAAGTTTGGTAGGTAGTGAGGTGGGGAGGATCTAGAAAGAGTTGGAGAGAAAACATATGTTCAAAATATTTTGTATGAGAAGATAGGGGGTTACGTGCTGGTAAAATATTTGATAAAATTCAATTATAATTACAAACAATATAGAAACAGAATAATTTTTATATGAAGTTCCCTTATGTGTGTATCTATGTGTGTCTGAATCACATCTCACTAGAGCAATTTACTGTTCTCTTAACCAGGTTCTGTTAACATCATGTGTATCATCAATCTAATAGTTACCACTGTGGTATTTTTGTAGCATGTCAAGAGCTACACTCTGTAACTTTTCTCCCTAGATCCTTTGACATATCTACCTATATCCTCAGCATATGGAAAATATTTTAGTCTGAGTGTGAGGAAATTGGGCTTTTCATTGATACAATAGCCACGTAAGTGAAAATGGACAAAATGGGAGGGACATAGAAAGAAAAAAATGGGATACATTTCTGGTGTATCTAATCAGGTATATATAGCCAAGAATATTTAGGATTTATGTCATTTAATTTCCATGAACTTACCTCTAAAGAATAAATTCCCATTCTTCCATGTAAAAAAGACAGATCTTAATCTCCATCTGTGATTTTGGCTGGCAAACTAAAGTCTTTCATGTATGGATTCCTGATAAAATTCACATTCTCATAATACAACATGCCTGTATTTCCATCATCTATGAAAGTATGAAAACTTCTACTTTCTCATTTGTATGTCTATAAACATTCATATTAACCCATAGGAAGAGAATTTATTTTTGGAGCTTTTAGGTTGTACCATCTGTCAAAAGCTCTTAAAATTGCCATGCACGTGTATGAAAGAACTAATTACATACCATTAAGGTTCCAGTGGAATGTCCTCGATAACTCAGCCACTTCTTCCCATCAAGACTATACATGATGATAAATTGAGAGATGTAAAGGCTGGAAATTTTCTGACGAGCACCCTGAGTCTTGATGCCATGAATAATCATAGGTGTCAACAGATCTACCTACCAATTAAAACAACGACTTATTTTAATCTATTTTCAAAAGTACATATTACAACCTGATAATACTATTTATTGTTATTAATTATCCACTTATGAAGACCCTATTGCAACAATTACCTTGTGTGTTCAGGGAAAGCCGTGACTAATGTTGAAATGTGAACATGTATGTATGTAAAGCCATGAAACATATGGTAGAAATGACTAGGAAAAACTATTTATTAAATTATCTATCTACTTCCTGGCAAACCAGATCACTTTCAAATCACTGAGTTATTCCTTCTCATATGCATCCATGGGGCTGTACATATGAACCAGAATGGCCTAATGCTTTACCCATACTTCTACATCAGTTTAAATTAATTTCCTCCCTTTCCTAGAGTAGCCCCATCTCTATAACACTATCAGGAATAACACAACTCTTTCAAATGTTAATTCTAAAAATATTTTTCTTGCTTAGCCTTCCCTGTCTTGGACAAATTTAATGCTGCTTTTTCTGTGCTTCTACTTTATATTATATACAAAAACTTCATTCTAGCAAATTATTACACTATATTATAAAGCTTGCTTTGCTTGTCTTCTTCTTATTAGACTGAGTTCCTTAAGCCAGTGTGCTTGAGTTGCATAAGCTCTTTATATTTCTGTTTATATGTGAAGAGAAGATAATATTTATCTCAATGGATTAAAAATGCAATACATGTAATTTGATGACTCCGGCAACTAATACACACCAAGCAATAAATATACATGCCCTCTAGTATGGGATCGAACATAGTAGTATATGTAATGCTGATGTTTAGAAAATGCTTTGAAATGAATTAGTTAATACTGGCAGAGTGGTAGGAAATGATAAGTTCCTAAAGAATGAGTACTGAATGACCAATAGAACAATGAGTCACATATGTAACGCAAGAGATATAGCTAGGTTAATGGCTTAGTAAGCAAATCAGAGTTAACATTCTCATAGATGCCCAATAGACTCATATAATTGAATGTTTAGTCATCAGAAGTGGCACTATTAGGAGGTATGGCCTTGTTGGACTAGATGTGGCCTTGTTGGAGGTGGTGTGTGTCACTGTGGGGGTGGGGCTTTAGCGTTTACAAAGCTCAACCTGGTCCCAGTGTCTCTCTCTCTGCCTACTGCCTGTGGATCCAGATGTAGAACTCTCAGCTACCTCTCCACTACCATTTCTGCCTGCAAGTCACCATGATCACAATGCACCATACCTCTGAAACTGTAAGCAAGCCTCCATTAAATGCTCTTCTTTATAAGGGTTGTCTCTTCACAGCAATAGAACACTAAGACAAATGTCATGACTAAATTGCTATGATCAGATGACTTTTTGTTTAATGACTATCTCCTTGAATTGATTGTAAGTAACATTCATATATTCATTCATTAGAAGACTATTTCTGGTATTTACTCTTTGTAAAGCATTGTTTTAAGTATAGTGTAGGAGAAAAATGAAGTAGAACAGCAGGACATAGTGGCCCTATCTTTAAATAATAGATACATCACTGCCTTCTCCTGGATTAGTATTTCTGATTGAAGGCACTCTATTTTTTCCTCTAGGTACTATGGTATAACAAAATAAAAACACCACAGTCAGGAATCATCATTTTTCCTAAATTGGTTTGTATTACTTCATGTAGAGTACGAGAGGCTTTTGTTTGTTTACCACATGCTAATGTATCCTCTAGTGAGTCTAATTAATTCTTACCAGCCTACCTACATTCTATGACTGATGGATGCTTGGTTTATCTATTTCCTTTTAAAAAATATTTATTTATTTATTTATTATTTATATAGCATTCTGCATGCACGTGTACCTGAACACCAGAAGAGGGCACCAGATTTCATTATAGATGGTTATGAGCTACCATATGGTTGCCGGGAACTGAACTCAGGACCTTTGGAAGAACAGACAGTATTCTTAACCTCTGAGCCATCTCTCCAGCCCCTACTTCTTATTTCTGTGTCTCTTTTTAAGTTATAACTGGTACCTGTTATATTTTAACAATTTAATAAGTAAAAAGTAAACAACTTCATCTATGTATGGAGCCAGGTGTTTTAGTGTGACTGTAACAGATATGTCTCTACAGGAAAGTAAACAAGGTGGTAGTAAGCTTCACAGTATACTATGTTAGTTTTCAGCAAACAAACACTGCAAACATGACAGCTGCTTAGCTCCAAGGGGGCTGCCAATTACCTGCTGCTGATTGTTTCGTACTGGTGGCCTGGTGCTTTTTATGCTTGCATATCTATGGGCCAGACTGTTTTACACATTTTATGTCTTGTCAGCATAAATAATGTCTATCTGAACACCCCTCTTTGTTAACATCTCCCTCAACTCCCACTTTGCTTATCTGTTCTAAGTGGAACAGATAACATCAATTCCCTTAAGACATCTAAGATATACAGTACTGCATCTAAAGAAAGACTGAATGATAATACAATTAAGGGGAACTGTAACTGGTCTAATGACCACACTAACCATTGAGAAAGGACTATCAAGCTAAAGTGGATATTGCACATATCATATAGTATAACGGTTCACATTAGGGCGCAAGAACTCAGCTGTTTTTTTTTTTTTTTTTTTTTAGGGTGCAAGAACTCAGCAGCTCAGTTGTTTTTGTGGGTGTGACTTGGAATGCTCTGTAACATCTCTGTGTTTTGGTGTTCTTAATTGAAATGATGTTCATAGTAGTCTCTAGCTCATAAGATTTTGGTGGGAAGGATTTACCAACTTAGTTTGTATTGAGCACATATTAAAGAAGTCTTTCTTAATATTTTCATCATGACTTTGCTAGAGTATTAAAAAAGTTCACATATCTATTCAGTAATTGATGAGAAACTGATAAGAATAAGAAATATTTTGGGACAAAGAAAATTGGAAAGCTGAAGAAATAGGCCAGATCTGGTAAATGGAAACTTGAAAGAATATGTCATTCAGAGTTCACTATTTCCTATTTGTGGCTATAAAATGGACTATGCCTTGTGTTGGGCACTTCCAAGTTGTCCTCAGCTGACATATGTCATGGTAAAAGATCCTCCCCCCAAAAGATCTCACTTGTCTGCCTATGAAGGACTCATGGGCCCAATTGATTATGGCTAAAAAATATTAGTTTTTGATATTAGTTAAATAAAACATATTATTAAGATGAATTTCATGAGCTTTGTGTGGTGGCATACACCTGTAATCTCAGCACTCAGGGAGGCAGAGGCAGGAGCATCTCTGTGAGTTTGAGGTCAGCCTGGTCTACAAAGCAAGTCCAGGACAGGCAAGGCTGCACTGAGAAAACCCTGTCTTGAAAAACAAACAAAACCAAAACAAAACAAACAAAAAGGGAAAAAAAAGGAATAAAAGAAAAAAAAAAGATGAATTTCATGAGCTGAGTACAGGGATCACTGAGGAATGTGTTTGCTGTGCAGGCATGAGGATCTAATTTTGGTTCCTCAGCACACATATCAAACCCATGCATAGAAACTAAGGCATCCACTATAGAAATCAATGTGGAGGCTCCTCAAAAAGCTAGAGATGGAATTACTAGAACTATCACATGATCCAGTTATATCACTCTAGGGCATATATTTTTAAAAACTCCATTTTATACTATAGACACGATTGCTGCTTATCCATGTTCATTGCTGCTACTCACAATAGCCAGGAAATGGAAATGGCCTAGATATCCATCAGCTGATAAATGGATAATAAAAATGTGACACATTTATACAATTAAATATTATTTAGCTATTACAAAAATGAAATTATGGCATACTGAAACAAATGAATGCAGTTGGAAACAGTCATTCTACTAGAGGTAACCTAGACCAGACAGAACGACAAATGTTACTTGTTTTCTCTTATTTGTGAATGTTATTTTTGAATCTTCAAATACGTGTTTCATTTAGAATAGCCATAGAAGTTTGGAAGTTACTTAGTGGCCATGGAAGGTGGCTTTCATGAGAGGGAAGATTGAATATACTAGTAAAAGGGTTAAAAGATAATTGTGTAAAAGGAAGGCTTAAATTTGGCTTGGGGGAGGGGAAGGACCAGAAGAAGAAGGTAAATGACATTAAAGGCCTTTTATAAAAGTGATATGGAAAACTACTGTGGTGGTTTGAATAAGAATGGCTCCTGTGGGCTCATATATTTGAATGCTTGGTTACCAGGGAGTGGTACTACTTGAGAGGGATTTGGATGTGTGGCATTGATGGAGTAGGTGTGGCCTTGTTGCAGTAAGTGTATCATTGCAGTTGGGCTGAGGTTTCAAAAGCACAAACCAGGCCCAGTGTCTTTCTCTTCCTGATGCCTGTGGATCCAGATATAGAACTCTCAGCTACTTCTCCAGCACTGTATCTGTCTGCATGCTGCCATGCTCCCTGCAAATATGACAGTGGAATAAACCTTGGAAATTGTAAACAAGTTCCAATTAAATGTTTTCCTCTTTAAGAGTTGCCATGCGCTTTGATTACCTCCCCCTAGGGGGGTGGTGGTGCAGTCTTGCCAGGCCAGAGAAGAAGATGATGCAGCCAGCTCTGAAGAGACCTGATAGGTTAGGGTCAGGTAGAAGGCAGGAGGACCTCCCCTATCAGTGGACTAGGGGAGGGGCATAGGGAGAGAAAAGGGTGGGAGGGGAGACTGGGAGGAGATGAGGGAGGGGGCTGGAGCTGGGATACAAAGTGAATAAACTGTAATAAATAAATAAATAATGAAAAATATATATAAATTAAAAAAGAAAGAGTTTCCATGGTGTCTCTTCAGAGCAATAGAACACTGACTAAGACACTTACCTACTACTGTAGAAGATACACACATATACACACACACACTAGACAAAGATAATTTGTGTTAAAATGGAGTCACTCTATAATGGGGCAACAATACCCCTACTGTATATTGCAACTAACAAATAAAAAGCTCAGTGCTGGGAATGGGTTACCTACTTAAGAGTTCTTAGTCAGTGAAGTTATATAGATCCCCAAACATTTTAGACTTTTGCCAATACTATTGTTTACCTTCTAAAACTTGACAGTAAGACCCAATTGCTGAAGACACCACACACTTGAGTCACAGAATATGGACAAATCAAGCTGGTACCAACCAGGAAGTTTTATCCATGCTAGCTTTCTTTTTTTCCATATAACATTTTTATTAATTTTCTGGGAGTTTCACATCATGAATCCCTATCACAATCCCTTCCTAGTCCATCCAAGTCTAGCCCTCCTTGTGAACTGTCCTTCTCACCAAAAAATAAGTAAATTAAAATAAGAACAAAGAGAGAAAAGAAGAAAGAAAGAAGGAAAACAACAACAAAAACCAAGTTGACTTTGTATTATCTATATACTCATTGGAGCATGGTCAAACTCTCAGCAGCTTGCCCACAAAACTGAGTTCTGTTCTATTTTATAGCTTTCACATTGATATAATTTTCTATGCACAGTGCCAGGGTATAAAAGTAGTCAAAATCATACCCAACTATGAACTCTGTAAGCTACAATAATGACTGATCTGGCAAGACAGATATGCCCATCGGTATAATAATGGCATAGATGTTATTAAAATGACCAACTACTTTCTGCTTGGATCTAAGATGTGCTCCATGAGTTCCATAACTGACACTAGTAAAGGGTAAAGAACCTGTGGTTTGATAAATTATGGGTCCTAGGGAAGGACCCAGTATTATTATTTTGTTAAATGGACATAGTATTAAAATTACTCCTAATAACTTATTGCTATACCCATAGCTCAGAGCACTTCTCAAACTCATCAGAGAAGTTTCTGCTTGCAGTAGATAGCACAGAGACCTTCTGCAACTGGTCAACATGCAAAGAATAAGATCTTGTGGAGTGCTTAGCCTAAAGTGAGATATAAGCTATCAAACACCTCCTGCATCTCAGGGATTCTTGTAGAAGATGGGGTGGAAAGATTTTAAGAGGCAGAGATGGTCAATAACAACAAAGAAACAGTGTTTTCCAGACATAACAGGACAGTTACACATGTGAACTTAAAGCAATGTGACAACATACACAAAGCTTGCACAAGCTCAGCCAGAAAAAAATCCCAACATAGAGGGAGCAGAGAAAATGGGTGTGAAATCTCACCACTAACTGATAAGCTTTTGGCATTTAATAGCTGCTTGGGAGAAGGAATGTCTGCTTTTTTCAGTGGAGTAACACCTGGTAAGTTGAACACACAGAGGGAAGGTCCCACTCACAAGAACAGATGAGCAATACAAACTGGACTTGAAATGAAAAGAAAAAAGAAGAAATAGTTAGAGGAAGGAACGGTTGTTGGGTAGAAAGATATGGAATGTGGAGAAGATTGCTATGGAAGTAATTGGGGGAGGAGAAGTGAATATGTTCAAAACACATTATATGAAACTCTCAAAGAAATAATAAAAATATTGTTAAAAATAATATAAAAAGTAACAGACTAATACAACTGACATTCACCCCTGGCCTCCGCATGTGCTATGCATAGGTACACACATGCATGTACACACATAAATACACACCACACATATACAAAGAGAGACATTAAAATAAAAAGATAAATTTTATGTTAATTTTTAAAATGGCTACTAGGAAATGCAAAGTAACACATGTGACTTGCATTTGTGGTACATATCATATTTCCATTGATCAAGGCTTCTCTAGAGAAAAAGCACAGTGAAACAATCTGAAAAACCATATACATTTTAAAATGTTGAGCTAAGCTGCCTCAAGTATTACTCCATCCTAGCTTACCATATTGAACTACATTAAGTAGGTACTTCCTTTATTTTATTTTAATTTTTTTTATTTTTATTAATTACAGTTTATTCACTTTGTATCACAGCTGTAGCCTCCTCCCCCTATCTCCTCCCAATACCACCCACCTCTCTTCTCTTCTCATGCCCCTCCCCCAGTCCACTGATGGGGGAGGCCCTCCTCCCCTTCCATCTGATCCTAGTCTATCAGGTCTCATCAGAACTGGCTTCTTTGTCTTCCTCTGTGGCCTGGTAAGGATGCTCTTCCCTCAGGTGGAAGTGATCCAAGAACCAGCCACTGAATTCATGTCAGAGACATTCCCTGTGCATATTAATGGGGAACCTTCTTGGACACTGAGCTGCCATCGGCTACTTCCGTGCAGGGGTTCTAAGTTATCTCATGCATGGTCCTTGGTTGGAGTATCAGTCTCAGAAAAGACCCCTGGGCCCAGATATTTTGGTTCTGTTGCTCTCCTTGTGGAGCTCCTGACCCCTCGAGGTCTTTCTATCTCCCCTTTCTTTCATAAGATTCCCTGCACTCTGCCCAAAGTTTGGCTATGAATCAAGTAAGTACTTCCTAATAACCAAAGGATATAAAATTCCTGAAAAAAGGACAGATTTAATTATACAAAAGAAGCTATGATTTATTGCTTTTAAGATGAAGGAGTCAGCTACCTATTTTGTATAAAAATGAAGAGCATTCAAGGACTCAGGGGAACCTACTCAGTTGGAGATATCTCATCATACAATACATGGTTTTGAAAGGTAGTAAATTAAAATTTATAGAAATCATTCTGGTGTTATATTTCAAGTAGAAAAACTGGACTCATCTGCATATTCATTTCTATTCTCAAGTCATTAAATTATGAATATTTTGAACACATTAATAAGTAATTGTATTGTACAGTTTCCTTATATGTTAATGGATGTTTTATGGGAAAGACTGCAGAATGAAAGGGCATATATAATGTTTTGAACTTGCCAAATACTGATATATTTCTCATAGTTTTCTGACCTTAATCCAAGAAATGGAATCTTTGGTACTCCAGGCATTGATTGATCCAGAACGATGAAGTCTTGCCAGGTTTGGGGCCCACTGTCCTTTGTCCAAGAAAGAAGAGAAAGATTATATTACATATTCAACTGGATTTATCTTAAAAACTTAGAAACAAAATATTATTTGAAGAAAGATTAACCCTAGTTGCAAAAGAAATAAAAGCAAAAAAAAATTATAGTATGACACTACTGATTACTGTCTAAAGGATTTGCTCTTTGATGCTGTGTATCCCATGTTCTATTTTCTTTTGGGGGAGGCAGTACTAGGGAATGAACCTGAGGCCTTGCGTATGTTAGGCAAATGGTCTAACACTGAGCTATAAATGCAGTCTACAAGTGGCACTATCATGTTTCTTTATCAGATAATGTATTTTATTGTAGAAAAGCTAGCAAATTACAAATAGTAAAAATAAATAAAAAGCATAGTCTTTCTATCCTGAAACTAATAAAATAAATAATACTCTTTTCCAAGGGGAATTTTCTCCTTTAAAGTAGAGGTTGACAAACTTTTTATGTCAAAGATAGTAAATACTTTAAGAGTGCAGATTATATGGTCTTTGTTGTAACTACATAACTGCCACTGTAATCATAGATGCTATATAAAGGAATGGGTTTGAGTATATGGCCTTATTATGAACATTTCAACTTGAATTTTATAATTTTCACATGTCATGAAACATTTCTTTCTTCTTTTCTTACTCATATAAAATGGAAACGATGGGCCAGTGAGATGCCTCAGTGGGCAAAGGTGCTTGACACTAAGGTTGATGGCTTGAGTTTTATCTACATAGCGGAAGAGAAGACTCCTACAGGTTGTCTTCTGACTTCTGTATATGCATACTGACATGCACACACACACACACACACACACACATACACAATAAGTATAATAAATTTTTCCCAACATAATATTTTTAGGGAACTTTACATAATGCACCCTGTTCACACTCACTTCCTAGTTCTCCCAAGTCTTCCCCACCACCACCACTGTGACTTTCTTCCTAAGAAAAAGAAGAAAGCAAAAACAAATTCAATTTGTGTTGCCCATATACTCATTAGAGCATGGGCAAATTCCCAGTGGCTAGTTGCTTGAGAAAAACTGAATCCTTCCCCACCCCCAACTATTTGAGAAGAGGAAGCAGACTGGAAAAGTGAGAAGAGGAATATGAAAGGGTAATAGAAGATAATGGATAGAATAAAAAATGCATTATATTCGAATAGGGAAACAAAAACGTCACAATGAAATCCACTCTTTTGCACAAGTAATATACACTAAAAATGGAAAATTATTCTTAACTCATGTACAAAGACAGGCAATGGGCCTATTAGACAATTATCTGTAAACCCTTACTCTAAAACAATGTGTGAGAATTTTCTATAGATTCTATTCATGCTTTACTACCACTGTTAAGAGGAAAGTGTAGACTCTTATTATGCTCAATAGTACTCAGGAGAGCAGCACTGAAAGTAGAAACAGTATTTCAGGAGTTAGTGCCATTGCCCAGGTAAGAAATCAAAGTGGCCCGAATTAAGATGGTCATAATGAGAAATGGAAAGAAGAACACAGACTTGAGAGGAGTCTTGTAAAAGTACTTTTATTTGCCTGGTTCAGTTGTTGTCTCAGAGGATTATTGCCTCTGTCTGTTAACCTGGGCCTAGTCCTGGAAGCTTCCAGCCCCCATACAATCTAACCTAGGCCAAGAATGTTTTCAGCCCCTGAGACTTACTGATTAGTAAACTCACCCTTTCTTGTTTCTGAACTCTGGCTGGCTGGTTCAACTCAGCTGTTCTGGCTCAAACTCCTCTCCCAGCTGACTGATTTAATCTGGCTTTTCTCTTGGCCTCTGAATTGCCCAGCTTGGCCTCAAACTAACTCAAGCAATCTGTGCTAATCTCCTGGCTCCTTCTCATTCTCTTGCTCCTTCAGTCTTCACCTGAATTCTTTCTGTAAAACTCTGCTGGTAAAACTGTCTCCTCCCTCTCTCTGCATTGCCCATTAAGTAGCTTCCCTTTCCTCTGCATATCATATTCTGTCAAATCTTCTCTTATTTGTCACTTTTTCTGCCACTCAATTAAACATCATTTTCAAACATGGGTACTTCCTTCTACAAACTAACTTTACTTTCATTGTTTGGGATTAAAGGCATGTACCACCACATTTGGACCTAAGCTTTTCTTTACCTGAAACTTGCTCTATACCAGGCTGGCCTTAAACTCAGATCTGCTTGCCTTTGCCTCCTGGATTAAAGGCATGTTTGTATTTCAGCCAGCTTACAAGAACCTAGGTCTTTGGATGTGATTTCTTGCCAGAGCAGCCATGTTCTGAATTAAAATTCCTCTACAGACTCTACTGAGCAGAAGTAAGAAAAGCATGGAGGGGGCCGAAGAGAAGGCATAGCAGTTAAGAGCACTTGTTGCTCTTCCAGAGGACCTAGGTTCAATTTCCAGCACTCACAAGGCAGCACAACCTATAACTCCAGCTCCAGAAAATTCTATGCCCTCTTCTGGACTTTGTGGGCACCAGGCATGCCCATGGTGCACAGATTTGTATGGAGGCAAAACATCCACATACATAGTAATACAAAGTAATACAAAAAAAAAGCATGGAAAGAAGTAGATTGGTTATTTAAAACTCTCCAACAGAAATGAAAACAAACAAACAAATAAATAAAAAAAAAAAAACAGACCAGATGCTTACAGCAAAAAAAAATAGTATTTACCATAGTGTCCTGAAGCTGTAATCTGAAAATCTCTGATGTTTCCAGAAGCCATTCCCAGAGGAATTTGGCACTCTGAAATCAAACATAGAAATGACACACAACCCATGAAAACACCTATATATTATATTTTCAGATAAATGGTAGTTCTCTTACTTGTTTAAGGTTATATCCTCAAACTCTTCCAGGTGAAATTTATAAGTTATCTTTGGTAACTGAATCAAAATTAAATTTGCAAATCTGCTATTGTAAAATTGAAGACTGTTTAAGCACTAGTTTGTTAAATTCCACAGGTTCATATTCAAAGGGACCAAAGTTTCTATCTCCTCTGAGGACTCTTGATGGTTTCTACCAGCAACATTAATTTTAAATTAAATAATAACACAAGCTTTCATTTATTTCTTCACTAAGACAGCCACTTCAAGGAGGAGGAAAGTTGTATAGAAACAGACTGAATAGTTAGCTTCTACCCACAGTTACTCACCCTTGCTGTACACCAGAAAAAGAGTGCTCATCCCAGCCTGTAAATGCTCGCCAATAAGACATTCTACTCGCCAAATTCCAGCTCTGGATGGTAGCATTTCCACTGTCTCAAAAACACCTTTTAAGACAAAAAGGAACACATTTTTTTTTCATTAAAAATGAGTATGAAATACACTGGTTTATGAAAATAGTTACCAAAATTTAGTTCCACCATTCTCAGATCTCTCACGTGCAAAAGACTTGTCATACATTTTTTGCTCTGAAAAACAATAGTGATATCTATACTATTGACCAGACATAACCTTCTAGGGGAAGAGAAATCACAGTAAGATCATCTTGGGTCCAGGGTACTAGGTAAAGGGATCTCAAGTTACAAGTTGGATGGAGGAGAGAAGCTTGACAGTTGGCTCAGGGGCTAAATGTAATAATGTTTTTGCAGAGGACCTGCGTTTGGTAACCACTGCCTGCATTTACAGCTCCAGGGAGTCTGATGACATCTTTTGGTCTTTGTGGGCACCTGGCACTTATATGTGCACAGCAACACAACACAACACAACACACCAAACCCCCCACACCCACTATTTTGTAGAGAAATTTAAATTCAGAACATGGCTTCTCTGGCAAGAGATCATATCCAAAGACCTTCTAGGTCTGTGATTTGGCTGGAATACAAACATGCCTCTAATCCAAGAGACAGAGGCAAGAAGATCTGAGTTCAAAGCCTGGTATAGAGCAAGTTTCAGGTAAATAAAAGCTTAGGTACACACCTTTAATCCCAAACAATGAAGGTAAAGTTAGTTTGTAGACAGATATTAAAAGTGACATCTAACTGAATGACAGAAAAAGTGACAAATTAGAGAAGATTTCATAGAATATGATTTGACCAACTCTCACAAGAAGAGAGAGGGAACAGATGCTACTTAATGGACAATGCAGAGAGATGAAGGAGGCAGTTTTACTGGGAGAGTTTTACAGAGAGAGGTTTAATGAGAGAATAAACTAGACACAGGTGAAGACAGAATGAGCCAGAGAATGAGAAAGGGCCAGAAGATTCGAAAAAGATAGTTTGAGGTCAAGCAGAGCAATTCAGAGGCCAAGAGAAAAGCCAGATTGAAAAAGTCAGCTTGAGCCAGAACGTCTGAGTTGAACCAGCCAGCTAATAGCTCAGAAAGAACAAGAAAGAGTGAGCTTACTAATCTGTAAGTATCAGAGGCTGAAAACATTCTAGGCCTAGGTTAGATTCTATGGAAGCTAGAAACTTCCAGAAGTAGGCCTAGTTTAGCAGACAGCCAGTAATTTTCCAAGACAACAACTGAAACAAGCGAATGAAAGTCATTTTACACTGTGTAAAAGAAACAATGGTGAACCAAAATAAAACTGTGTTTTGATTAACACTGTCATTAGTGCTTCACAAATGTATTGGTTATGTACATTAACAAATTAGCCTTGCTAACTACTGGTGCCATGTGGGATTTGAGAGGAAGATGATAAAAGATTCTTAGGAAAGTACTATATGGTGTTAATTATTCATTTTTAGTAGTTTTATGTTCCTGAAGTTATCTTGTTCATTGCTGACTGATTTATCTCTGTGTATAGGATAAATTTACTTGATAAGGCATTTCAGCAAGGTGCTTCTCTGCTTTGTTATTGATTCCATCAACAGTACCAAGACCATTTAAAGCAAGTACTCAATAAACACAGTAGGTAAAAGAAAAGAACAAACTAGCTCAAACCTGGATAGAGGTTGTACACTGCCATTTTGTACTCTTCTTTTTTCCGTACAGTGAACACATGTCCACTGAAATGAACAGACTGGATGTTCTCATTGCTGCCCATGCTGAGAAGATACCATCGAATCCTTTGATTCTGAGCCATTACTAAGCCTGGTAGAGTATCCATCACATAACCATTGATTGCTAGAGACAAACAAAGAGAAAATTATTAAAATCCATCATTAAAGTTTCTTTCTTCTTTCTCTACAGAGAATACTGATACCCATTAGGATTTTATTTCTCATTACTGTTCAAGTCTCTGGCCCAAGGCTCATTTGAAAAAGTACACACTATATTTCATAGTGAATAATATTTAGGTATGGATTATGTTACCATGAAAGCGATAATTCTCTTTTAAAGTGGGGTCTTCCATCTGGATATTGCAGGATGTCTTGCAGTTCCTTTCCACATTTTCAGTGAAATACCAGCTCTTGGTTTCATCAAAGATAGTGAAAAACAGAGCAAATTCCTGTACTGCCACTTGTCTCCCATAAGCAGGACTCAATGTGTTTGTGCGGCAAATCAGAATGGGTCCAATCAATCCTGAGTGCATATCCCTTTCCTAGAATTCTCAGGAGGATATTAATTGCATTAGTGTAGGTTCTCTCTTATCAACTTGTATGCTAAAGTACCATTTATTCTCTGTAGTAGAGTCCAGAATAATATTTCTTTCTTTTAAAAATAATTTATTTATTTTTATTTTATGTGCATTGGTGTTTTGCCTGCATGTATATCTGTGTGAGGATGTCCTGTCTTGAAGTTATAGACACTTGTAAGCTGCTATGTTGGCGCTGGGAATTGAATGCAGGACCAATCATTGATCTTAATCTCTGAGTCACCTCTCCAGCCCCCCAGAGTAGTTTTTCTAACAAAGAAAAATGATATTACTTTCTTCATTAAAACTTCTAATTGTGTTTAAGGTAAATACCAAAATTTTTAGCATAGAAGATAAAAACTAGGCTGGAAAAGATAGATCAATGGTTAATATCTCAATGATCTTCTCTTTCAGAAGATCTGGGTGCTATTCCCAGTACCCATATTGCAGCTCACAGCTGATTTTTACTCCAGTTCCAGAAGCTCCAAAGCCTACTTATGGTCTTTGTAGCACCAGGCATGCACATGACACACAGACATACACAGAGACAAAACACACATACACATTAAAAAAAACTTTAAAAACGATAAAAACCATTTTTCTCTTTTTAATTGAGAATATGAGTATCCCAATAAAGATCTACTTACAAGATCCACATCAGAGAAATAAGCCCAGGCCTTGCATTCAAACTCATCTTCTGTGGGTGCCATATGATGTTGTATTTTCCAAAAATAAACTTTAGTTTCATTAGGCTTGACAAAGTTTCTTCTAGGTTTTTCTCCATCTCTCTGATCTTCATTATAAGAAATGAGGCTAGAATAGAAGGAGTAGGGACGAGAGGCCTGGTTTTTAAAAGTTACCTGAAGAAAAAAAAAAGAATTTTTTTTAGAATAATAAAATCCTAAAGATTTATAAGGTTTTATATCTGTGTCCCATATCTTTTAGTCTTTATCCTATTTTTATTACCTAATATCTTAAAAAGAAAGTTATGAGAAAATTTTAAATTTAAATTTTTTATTATTGAATAATATTTTTTTGTTTTTTCATCTCTACATTCAAATATTTATAATTGTTAATATTATTTATAATTGAATTCTAATTTTACAACATGAAATTTACACAGGAGAAAATTCTTAAACACTTAAAAGTAATTCAAAAGTTAACAAAAAATGTCACTTTAACTTCGGAGTGACTACTTAAGGTTTGTCATAACAAATTCCAAGATGTATGTATAAGTTTTAAAATTTATTTTAGTGCTCGCTTCGGCACCACATATACTAAAATTGGAACGATACAGAGAAGATTAGCATGGCCCCTGCGCAAGGATGACACATAAAATTTATTTTAATTAATTATTTGATAATTCCAAACAATGCATTTTGATTATAGTCACCTTCACCTCCAATGTATTTTGATCATATTCATTCTCAAAGATCATGCCATACATGCCTACTCACTCAATTTTTTGTCCTCTTAAAAAAATTCTCTTTAGATAAAAAAACCTATGTATATTTATCATAAAATATATGCAAAATAAAAAATTCCAAGTCAGAAAAAAAAATGTACCTACAACCCCATAGCTTTATAGGCTTCTATACCTTTACTATCAGTCAGTTGGGGAAATGAATGGACATTTTTGGAATAAAATAAAAAAAAAAACAAAACTTTGGCCTCTTTCTTAAAATGCACCAAAAATTACTTGTGGTTTATAAGACTTATTGAGATATGGTTAAATAATTAAATAAAAAAATTAAGCTAAGGGAGTCCAAGATGGTGGCGACCAGCACACACCGTATCTGAGAGGCACAGGATCTGAAACTCTGAAAATGATGAGTGGAGGGGCAGCTGAAGCCAGAACATCGACATTGAGGTTTCTTGGGCAAGAGGCGACAACTCATGAGCTGAGACAGTTTGGATCCAGGTCGTCTCCCGGGCCTGAGGGTGGAGAATATTTGACCCCCTGCACTTCCCCTTGCCCCAAGCATGGTCCTCCCTACTTAGCAGCGGTGGCAGTAATTGCCCCAAGCAGGAGCCTCCATGCTCGGTAAATGAGACAGCAGAGGTGTCTTCAGTACAGGCTTCTCAGGTCTGTGGCTTCAGCAGGCAGCCCCTGCCCCAAGGCAGGAGTCTCTGTGCTTGGTGACTGAGAGGAAGTGAAAGTACTACTATTCACAGATGATATGATAGTAGACATGAGTGACCCTAAAAATTCAACCAGAGAACTCTGTCAGCTGATAAACACCTTCAGCAAAGTGGCTGGATAAAAAATTAACTAAACAAAATAAATAAAATAAACAACCAAAAAGTAGCCCTCCTGTATATGAAAGACAAAAGGGCTGGGAAAAAAATTATGGAAACCACACACTTCAGAATACCTACTAACATAAAGTACCTTGGTGTGACTCTAACCAAGCAAGTGAAAGACCTGTTTGAAAAGAAACTTCAAGTCTCTGAAGAAAGAAATTGAAAAAGATATCAGAAGATGGAAAGATCTCCCGTGCTCATAGATCTGTAGGATTAACATAGTGACAATGGTCATCCTGCCAAAAGCAATCTACAGATTCAATGCAATTCCCATCAAAATACCAACTCAATTCTTTACAAAACTTGAAAAAAACAATTCTCCATTTCATATGGAAAATTAAAAAAAAAAAAAAACAGAATTGCTAAAACAATCCTGTACAATAATGGATCATCTGGAGGTATCTCCATCCCTGATCTCAAGCTGTACTACAGACCAGTAGTAATAAAAACTGCATGGCACTGTCATACAAACAAAATGGTGGATCAATGAAATAGAATAGAAGACCCAGAAATAAACCCTATGGATAACTTGATTTTTGACGAAGAAGCCAAAACCATACAATAGAAAAAAAAAAAAAGACAGCATCTTCAACAAATGGTGCTGGTCTAACTGGATGTTTACATGTAGAAAACTTCAAAGAGATCCTTATTTATCACCCTGCATAATACTAAAGTCCAAGTGGATCAAAGATCTCAAAATAAAACCAGACAAACTAAACCTGTTAGAAGAAAAAGTGGGGAAGAGCCTAGAACTCATTGGCACAGGAGACAACTCCCTGAACAGAACACCAACAGCACAGGCTCGAAGAGCAACAATCAATAAATGGGACCTCATGAAACTGAAAAGCTTCTGTAAAGCAAAAGACACTGCCATCAGAACAAAATGACAGCCTACAGACTGGGAAAGGCTCTTCACCAACCCTATATCTGACAGAGGGCTAATATCCAGAATATATAAAGAACTCAAGAAGTTAAACACCAACAAACCATGTAATCCAATTAAAAATGTGGTACAGAGCTAAACAGAGAATTCTCAATAGAGGAATATCAAATGGCAGAGAAACACTTAAAGAAATGCTCAACATCCTTGGATATCAGGAAATGCAAATCAAAATGACGCTGAGATTTCAACTCACACCCATCAGAATGGCTAAGAACAAAGACTCAAGTGACAACACATGCTTGAGAGGATGTGGAGAAAGGGGAACCCACCTCCATTGCTGGTAGGAATGTAAACTTGTACAACCACTTTAGAAATCAATCTGGCACTTACTCAGAAAATTAGGAACAGTGCTACCTCAAGATCCAGCTATACCACTCCTAGGCATATATATATCCAATATATACTCAAGTATACAACAAGGACATTTGTTCAACCATGTTTGTAGCAGCTTTATTCATAATAGCTAGAATCTGGAAAAAAAAACTCAGATGTACCTGAACTGAGGAATGGATACAGAAATTGTCTTACATTTACACAATGGAATACTACTCAGCAATTAAAAACAAGGAAATCATTAAATTTACAGGCAAATGGTGGGAACTAGAAAAGATCATCCTGAGTGTGGTATCCTAGAAGCAGAAAGACACTATTGATTTACCTTTTAGTTAAGCAGTGGTTAATCCTAAACCAGCTGTATACCCAAATCACCACACAGAGACTGGGATTCATTTACTTAACCTAGTGCACAATGCTGGGCAATGATCACTCCATCCTAAACCTCCAAGCCTGCATAGTTTCCTACCATTTAGATTTTACCCATTATACTTGCTTTTAGTCACATCTAAGGTCCAGTTCATACCTCCTCATGGTTCCAAGTCCTGCTGATCTATGTCTCCTCCTCCCACTTGCTTTCTTCTCTTCCCCTCTGGTCCATGATATCCCACTCTATTCTCCCCATTGCTCAGCATTGGGGCTGGTTGTTTTATTTAGAACACAGAACAAATGGTGGCATGTATACAAAAACTTGAGACAGGTTTTGCTTAGAATAAGCATCACAATGCAATGTCCATTGAAACCAGATAGTGGGGTAGAGAAATCAGCATTTGAATGAACTAGGGTATATTCTATAAGAATATTATACAAACAACTCACTTATAAGTGGACATTAGACATAAAATATAGGATAAACATACTAAATGTACACCTAAAGAAGCTAAGAAAGAAGATCCTGGGTAAGATGATCAATCCTCATTCAGGAAGGCAAATGGGATGGACATCAGAAGAGGGAGAAAACAGGGAATAGGACAGGAACCTGCCACAGAGGGCCTCTGAAAGACTCTACCCAGCAGGTAGACTCATAGCCAAGTGCAGAGTGCAGGGAATCTCATTAAAGAAGGGGGAGGTAGAAAGACCTGGAGGAGATAGGAGCTCCACAAGGAGAGCAACAGAACCAAAATATCTGGGCACAGGGTTCTTTACTGAAACTGATACTCCAACCAAGGACCATACATGGAGATAACCTAGAACCCCTGCACAGATGTAGCCCATGGCAGTTCATTCTCCAAGTGGGTTCCCTACTAAGGGTAACGGGCTGTCTCTGACATGAACTCAGCGGCAGGTTCTTTGATCACCTCCCCCTGAGGGGGGAACAGCCTTACCAGGTCACAGAAGATGACAATGCAGCCACTCCTGATGAGACCTGGTAGGCTAGGTTCAGACAGAAGGGAGGAGGATGTCTCCTATCAGTGGACTTAGGGAGGAGCGTGGGAGGAGAAGAGGGAGGGAGGGTAGGATTAGGACGGGATGAAGGAGGGGGTTACAGCTGGGATACAAAGTGAATAAACTTTAACTAATATAATAAATTAATTAATTAAAAATAAAAACACACAAAAAAGAAAAATTAAGCTATAAAAGAAAATATTTAAAAAATGGGTAGAGATAAATTTTTATGAATACAGGCAATGAAAGTGTCAAAGAGGAAAGTTTTATGAGTTACTATCTAAAAAACTATTTTATTTAAAAAAAATCATATGCCCCTTCCCTAGTCCACTGATACGGGAAGTCCTCCTCCCCTTCTATTTGACCCTAGCCTATTAAGTCTCATCAGGGCTGGTTACATCATCTTCCTCTGTGGCCTGGGAAAGCTTCACCCCCCCAGGGGGAGCTGATCAAAGAGCCAGCCACTGAGTTTAAGTCAGAGACAGCCCTTGTACCCCTTACTAGGGCACCCACTTGGAAACTGAAGGTTTAGGTCCTCTCCATGCATGGTCCTTGCTTGAAGTATCAGTCTCTGCAGGCCCCCTTGGGGAAGAGGTATAGAGGAAATAGAGTGAGAGTGGGTGGGATTAGGAGGAGATGGAGGGGGCTACAGCTGGGATACAAAGTGAATAAACTGTAATAAATAAACAAACATTATATAAAGTTAAGAGACAGTAACTTAGAAAAAATACTTCTAATTAAAATTATTACTGGTTACCACAGAGGGCCTCTGAAATACTTTACTGATCAAGGTATCAAAACAGAGGCTGAGACTCAAAGCCAAACTTTGGGCAAAGTGTAGGGAATCTTATGAAAGAAGGGGGAGATAGAAAGAGCTGAAGGTGACAGGAACTCCAAAAGGAGACCAACCAAGCCAACAAACAAACAAACAAACAAACAAACAAAACCCTGAGCCCTGGGGGCCCCCGCAGAGACTGTTACCCAACCAAAGGCAATGCATGGAGAGGACCTAAAATCCCAGCTCAGATGGAGCCCATAAACTCAGTCTCCAAGTGGGGTCCCTAGTAAGGGGAGCAGGGGATTTCTATGACATGAAATCAGTGACAGGCTCTCTGATCACCTCCTCCAATGGGTGCAGCCTTGCCATGCCACAGAGGAAGAAAATGTAGCCAGTCCTGATGAAACCTGATAGGCTAGGGTCAAATAGAAGGGAAGGAGGACCTCCCCTATCAGTTGACTGGGGGAGGGCCATGGGAGGAGATGAGGGAGAGAGGGTGGGATTAAGAGGGAATGAGGGAGGATCCTACAGCTGAGATACAAAATGAATAAATTGTAATTAATAAAAAATAAATTAAAAAAAGAAAAACAAAATAAAAAGATATAATCTCAAAGGTCATTTAAAGTACATGGTCTCATCGATTCATATAATAGAGTATCATGTAATCATTGTTTTTTGTTGTTTTGAGACAGAGTCTCTATGTTGTCCTTGAATTCCCTACACAGACCAGGCTGAACTCAAACTCATAGAAATCCACCTGCATCTGCCTCTGCCTCCTGAGTGAGTGGATGGGAGGTAGGGTGGGGAGTGGGAGAGTATTAAAGGCATGTGCCTTCTTACTTAGGAAGTGTTTTGATGATGCAAAATGTTTATTACATACTACATAATTAAAAAGAAGCAGAATTACATATGGTATAAATTTTAATACATAAAGAAAAAAATCAGGCAACAGATAAGAAATACACACCAAAATGATAACTATAGGATTATTTTAACTTCTCAATTTTATGTACTTATATTTTTTCAGATAGGAGAGCACATTATTTTTCCCACTGCAATATATTCATTGTACATGGTACTATGTTATCAAGAATGTTTTCATACATGTACATGATACAGTTTGAACATATTCCTCACATACTCCTCTACCTTCTCCTCTCTTTCTTCTCTCTACCATTAGTTCCTTTTGTTTTCTTAGATCCAGCCTTTTCACATTGTGACATGCTTTTATATACTGATGTTCACACTTAAGAATTGTACAAATGAGTTTCAAAAAATGCAAAAACTCCATAATGTTTTAATTAAGTTTGTGATTTTATACTAGGATACCCATATCTATATTTGGTGGCATGTGATTTGCAGGCTGTAGGTTAGGCCTAGACCAGTGGTTCTCAACCTTCCTAATGCTGTGACCCTTTAATAGAGTTCCTCACGTTGTGGTGACTCCAATCATAAATTACTTTCATTGCTACTTTATATCTGTAATTTTTCTACTGTTATAAATCATAATATAAATACTTATTTGTAGAATATCTGATATGCAACCCTTGTGAAAGAGTCATTTGATCCCCACCTCCCAAAAGAGGTCTTAACCTACAGGTTGAGAACCACTGGCCTAGACTATTTAACTTCTACTTTCATGTCATATTTTCATTTTTTAATAATCAAAACTAAACTAAATATATAGAATTGTTTTTGTAGTTCCATTGTCCTTAACTTACCATAATGTTGTCTTCAACTTCTGCTCTTATATATGGCCCCAACAACCCTAAATGTTCATTTAGTTCTCCACCGTATAAGGGTTTACTAAAGGAGCCATCAGTAAATTCCTGAAAAACTACTTTCTTGAACTGAGGTGCATTGCCATCTTGATCCCTGGAGAAAAAGCAAAATAAAATCGGTATTTTGATGGACCCATGAGGAAGGATGCCTCACACTTTTGCTTTCCCTGTATTTGAGAATACACTTAGTAAAACTGATGATACATGATAAACACAATAATTAATGGAAGAAAGAAAGCGAGATGAAAGATAATTTTCAGGGGCTAGGCATGTGGTGGCTTAGTTGGTAAAGTGCTTGCTTAGACTGCAGGAATCCCTGGGTTCCACCATACCCAGCATAAACTGGGTATGTGGTTATAACTTCAGCACACAGAAGGCTGAAGCAAGAGAATTAGTATGAGCTTTAAGGCAGCCTGGGCCACACAGAAAGTTTGAGCATAGCCTTAGGTACTTGAGACCCTTTTACAAAAATAAAAGAAGGAAGGAAGGAAGGAAGGAAGGAAGGAAGGAAGGAAGGAAGGAAGG